GAATGCATTCGGGGGAGCCTTGCTGTGGAACAGGTAAGCAAATGGAGTTGTTCAGCGACCTGTCCAATGTCTAGAGTTGGGATCTGAATCTGTGTCTGAGTCCAAAGCCCAGATTTTCATCCCATTGCCTGGGAAGAGTGAGCCAGAGACATAGAAGAGAATGATGGTAATTAAAAGGCTTATCTCCTCTGGGCCTCTTGGTCCTATGGGTGTGGCTCTATAGGGTCACCTAGGAAGACAAGTCGGATTCCTCTGCATCAGGCATTTCCATCAGGCCTGTCTGCTTGACTCACATGAGGTTGTCAACTCCACACCTATGTCTGCCCAGGGACTGACCCTCTTGACCTTTGTAGGCCCTTCCTGACTCTCTTGCCAGTGGCTTTCCATCCTAAGCGGTTTGATTCCAGCACCAGGCTGGTTGGTGGCTCATCCTGAGGCTCCACTGGAAGAAGAAGGAAGAGGGGCCTCACCAGCCACTATGTAAAATCAGAGCTGACTCCAGGAAAGGAGGTGAGCACAACCAGGCCAAAGGGCCTGAATGGGAACTTGGTCACTTCTGCTGAACTGAGGAACCAAAATAAAAACCCCAAAACTCAAGCCACCCATTTCTACCAATTCATGGTGACCTGTTAAGAACAGAACTGCCCCATACTTTCCAAAATTATAAATCTTTAAGTAAACTAGGAATTTACCCCAAAGAAATGAGAATTGAGACACCAATGTTCATAGCAGTGTTAACCGTTGCAAGAACATGTAAACAGCCCAATGTCCAACCACAACTGAATGGATTGAGAAATTGTGGACTATTATGCAATATTCAGGAGTGATGATTAAAAAAAATATAACTTGGGAGAAACTGGAGAGCATTAGGCTGAGGGGACTAATTTAGTCTCATAAGGACAAATACTGCATAAGACCATTATTGTGCTAATAGAAGGATAACTAGTAAAACATACGGGTGCCCCTGGTGGGAAAGGGTAGGAGTAGAGGGGTAAAGATGGGTCGGGGGGAAATCTCAGGGTGGCACAATTTGGTGGTTGGAGAGATAGGGGAAAGGAAATGGGAAACATTCCGGGGGTACCTGAAAAGATCGGGTAAGGGTCGGCATAGTTCATTGGTGATTAATTTTTTTTTTTACATTTTCTTTTTTTTATTATTATTAAATTTTATTAGTTTCAATGAACATTCACAGGGATTCTGGGCTTTCACTCCTTCATTGCCGCACCATTGTCTCCACCCTCCTCCCCAGTTTGTTCTTCTTCCCCCGCCCTCCGAATGTCTGTTTTAATTGTCCAATTGCCACAGTGCTTGTCAAAGTCAGTTCTTATTAATCTCCTT